ATGATTACAACGATAATTCAAACTTATTTAGGGCTCTTAAGCTCTATATTCAAAATTAAATATAATTATGCATTTTATTAAACACAAATTCTGATTATATATCAATTAAATTATGTATTAAATATTTTTGTTATTTTTGCAATTTAACTATTTTTTTATAAAAATAAATTATCGGGTTCTCTGCTTATAAATTGTGTGTGTGACTCTAAATGAGTCTATAAAATGTTAATACAATAAAATGTTTTTTATCCGATAATGAAAAACGGAAATAGATTTATCATAATACTTTTCCCGATACCAAGTCTCAGGGAAAAATTATTAACATTAGTAACAGGCAAAAGTGATTATTATTTAAAAATATTCCGAATGTACTTCCGAATACTTTATTAATTATTTTCTGATAGATGAAAAATGTCTCAATGTTCTTAAACTGATTTAACACATCTCACTAGCAATTCAGATGTAATTAGATTACTTATCTATAAAATTTTATCTATAAAATACAACGGATATATGATTTTACGAATTTACAACATGTGCTCCCGAAGCAAAATTTTTAATAATAGAAAGTAATGCATTACATTATGTATATATTTCGAGATAAAATTATTAAATCTTTTGCGTAATAACATAATATTTTTTTATCAGCTTCGTAAATCAAGTTTTATTTTTCCAAATTGAAATGATTATGAATCGCAAAAAATCTTCTTTCAAACTATTCTATTATCAATATTGCAATAAAAAATCTATTTTAAAACTACTTGTAAAAAGTACATATGTAATAATAGATTACGCTTTTTCAATTATATATGAAAACAAAATACATCTTTGATTTGAAATGCAGCCAGATTTAATTTGTATTTAAATATATTTAGAATTTGTATTATCTTCTATTTTTATGGAAATATTTTTAATTCATTTTTCTTTTTTCAAATAAAAAAATATATACTCAAACAAATTTACAGAAGCATTTTAGCTCATTTTTCCTTTTTTTATTTATTATTTTCAAAACCTTGATAGTTTAAAAGATTTAACCTTTATATTATCTCTAACAACTGAGATAAACGCAAAAATGAAAGAAAATATTTCAACAAGCTTTTAATTTAATTTAGAAAGATTAATTCTTTATCCTAATAATTTCATCCTATATAATTTTCATCAATCTTATATAATTTTAAAGTCGCAAGCTTTTAATCGATTGTATTCGATTGCTTATTTTTGTATATTTGTCGGCTATTAGGTTTTAGAATATGTGTCTATTGTAGAGGTATCGTTGCCGATCATTGCATGTGGGATGTACTAGTCAAATGTATGTGCGCTTCAGGCTGGGCGCACACATCTGATTCAATATTTCGATTAACGTTCATCAAACATCCAGTACGCAGCACGCAATGCGATAACAATCCCTTGTGTCGACCATTTTTGTCGTGTTGGCAACTTTTCGGATAATTGTCGTTGGTTCTAGTGCGGTGGTGAATTTTCAGCATCGATAAATCCCGGCCGCGCGTGACACAAATCCATTCGTTATCAAACTGAGGACAAAATCCTCTTCGAAAATCGGAAACCTGTATATGCTTTAAAGTATCATATTTATTTCACTGTGCTTTTTGCCTTAATACGATAATCAGCTATATTTATATTTTGCGATAAATCATTAATTCTGAAATTATTTGCGCAGTCAAGTAAGATACAATTCTTTCTGGAAATGAAGAAATTTATTGTATATTTATGATAAGCATTATAGTTTTATCATTATCAGAAACATCATGTATTGAATGGAAGGAATAATTGATAATGCTATTCTTAGCAGATGCTTGAATGAAAACTTATAACGATTACTTATGCTTGTATAAAGTTTTTATATTATTACTGTTTTATTTATTAAAATTAATCATAAAATACATTATTCAACATAAAAATATTAACATATAATATTTGCACACACTTAAAATTACAAAATTACAAAAATATTAACATGTAATATTTGCACACACTTAAAATTACAAAATTATTTTATTTTGCTGAGTAAACATTTTATGCAATTAAAAAACTGTGTACAAAAATAAATTAAATGACTGAATTTCGATGTGAAATATATACGAAATTCACGCAAATTGAATAATACTATTTTACAGTTAGTTAATATAATTCGTTTATTTTTACTGCAATTTTTTATTGAAATGAGAAGTGAAAAATATTTAAAATATTTGTTAAATCCCAAGAATCAAATTCCAAGATAAATCAAATTCCAAGATATTTTATATTAATTCTCTGTTCCGTTCTGTTTTTATTTATTTGCATAATGGATAAAATTACGTGTATAGCTTTATGTTTCAAAAGAAAAGAAGCGATACGTTTCTTGAGAGACTTAGAATATATTTATGCACATTTATAAAATAAAATTCCACATTATTTGTAAGATATTTTTTGCCATGAACACTTTATTAAAGTGAAGAGAAGTCCAACCTTATTAAATTACCAACGTTTACATTGCTAATATTTTTTTTCTCTTTTGCATATATTATGTGCTTATATAAAACATTATTAATATGTTTGATCAAGAAGTTTAAAAGGCAAATGATATAAATTATACAAATCAATTAAATTAAGAATATGAAATATGAATAATCCTGATTTTTTGTGTGAAAGGTGATGTTCCAATTTAATTGATGAGCAAAAGTACAGATAAAGCTGAAGTAAAATTTATTTTTTCTTTCGTTTTTATCTGAAATTATAACACGTTTATTTCTCTTCTTTCTCTGTATATATAAGTATTAGAGAATTTTATTTAATAATAATTAATTATATGAAAAAAAGATGTGTACATATAGTCGTACATAACTGCCAAAAACAATCCTCGAGATAAGTTAACCCTCCTATTCTGCTGGTCCTGAAATGTGCACGCGTACATAAAGTGGACTTGGGGTTTAACCGCACTGACCGCAGGGTGATTTCGCGAACTCGTACGGCAAGCTTTCTAACGTCATAATATTCCAAATTTTCACATTTCGGCCATTTTGCATATTAACAACATATAATATTCATAACATTGTTCGAATATTGAGGTAAACTTGAAATATCGTTACGCGCTTTGTTGTTTTATTTTTCTAAAGGGAAATGGCATAAAAGGCCTTTCTATTAATTACAAGTGCATAAAACGGAATGTATGTGACAGATATCTTTAAGATTTATTGGAATCTTATATAAAATTTATCGATATAATAAAACAGGATTGAATTTATTAGAAACATAAAGATACGGAATTTAATCGGGTTTTACTAGTAATTTTTTATAAACATTTTTTACATAATTTTCAATTGCATATTATATTGATATGCACATCAAATTTAAAACAAATGTAACAAAAACAAACCATAAAATTAATGACTATGGTTACACGTCATCCTTATTCGGATTTAATAACATCTGTAGTTGTCAATCACAGTTATTTCTCTGAAAAACTATAATTGATCAATCTTAGAATTACGTGCGCGAGAATGTCATTAAAGCTGATTAAGAATAATATGTAAACGTAGTCAATGTCTAATTTTGTGACACAAAATATGTTAGCTATTTCACAAGGTTGGCTAAAAAAGCAAAAATAAATGGAAAAAACTATGGAAAATGGTTTCGGTTTTTATTATCCTGGATATTATTCTGGTTTTGGCTTTTTTTTAATAGAATAAAATGACAAAAACTATAAATTGTAACACTAAAATATATTTATATAACTTTATGCAATATTTTTGCTTTAATTAATAAATCATATTACTCTACTATAATTAAAAAAAATGAAATCAATATAATAATAAAGTCTTTTTTAATTTAGATTAATATGTGACATTTTTTAAATAAAAACTTTGAAGATATAAATGCTATTAAATTTTATATTAATTTTTAATTTAATGAGAAAAATATAATAACAGAATTAACAATTTTTATCAATACAAATTTAATTCATATTACCGTTCAGCATCTTCTAACAAAAGACTAATTTATTTATTTTATGTCCTAATTTACATTCCTAATCTATTTTATTTTTATTTTTTATTTTAGATAAAACGGATTTTGTTTTTAATAAAGCTTAAATTAGAAAAACACTCAATTGACGAATATCAATAAAAATGTTTTCTCTTTATTTTAATATTTTTAATGGAAAATATCAATTTTTACCAGTTTTTTTAATGGAAAATATCATTTTTTACCGCTAGTATGGATTTTATTTAAAAAATGTAGAATTTTGCTGACCATATTATCTCATATACTTATTTTTTTTTCTAAATGTCAAATGTCAGCTGCAAATCTCAGATTTTGTCAATTATATTTCCAACAGTTGGTTAGATACAAGCTCATGAATGAAGCACAATTCATATAAGTCACGATACGTAACGAGACGTAAACCAAATTACACGTCGAATGACAAATTGCCTCTCCCTGCGATTTCCGCAGAGCGGAAAACACGATGTGCAAAATACATCGCAGTCGCGGAAAGCGTTCTTCACATTCTCAAAATACCGTAAACAATCATTGACTCTTTTTTTTCCTCTTTGAAGAAAAAATAAAATACAAATCACTCAAAGCGCCGCGCTAAAAAAAAAGAGGGGGAAAGGGAAAAACAAATTCGACGCTTGTTTGATCGTTGCAACTTTGCGGATTATGCTCTCCCTCCTACCGACGTCTACGTCTTTCACCCCCTCGTGTGCCTCCCCTCTCGGCCTTCGTGCGTCGTCGCTCGGTTCCACCATCCCTCCGGGCGGCACTTTATTCCACTCTCGCCCCGACGTGAAGTGGGTGGCCGCGGGGTCGATGGGTGCACAAGGGGCGAGCGCGGTGGGATGCGGAGCACCGTGGGAGTCGAGTGCGGCGTTCTCCACGGGGGTGGCGTGGGTGGACGAGGAGCGAGGGAGGACGGGAACGGGAGGGGTGGACGATAGTCTCTCCCCTCCGCATCCCCCACCTTGCGCCATACGGGCGCCAACGTCAAGCGCTTTCGAGACGTTAAGGCCGACACTCGCGTCGCGCATCTCGGCCCGACGACATCGCAGTCCGGTAACGCCAGGGACACGCACACACGTGTGATCGTAGACACCCTGCTGTGTGATCGGGTGCTCTCTTTCCCTTCTCCACTTTCCACAGCGACCGCGAAAAACGCGAATTTCGCAAAATTCCGCGAGATCGCTCTCGACGATCTCTCGATCGCTCGATTCAAATTTCCTCGATTAGGGGTTCAAAGTCGACCGGCTGATCCTCGTCCGCGTTAATCCGCGTTAAACCGCGACACGTGTCTCGCGCGATATTTGTTATGTGTGTAGCGCGGTGGGAAGGAGGGTGAAGTGTTGACAGATACGTATTCGTATAAGTGAAAGCAAGATACAAGAAAGGAATTGGTCTGCCTTGCGATTGGCGCCCGACAGATTCCTCGATGCGCCCTTCGTCAAGGGGTGAGAGTCGCACGTGGTGGAAATTTGACGATCTCTGACAAGAGCTGCGCAGGTGAGCGCAGGGAGCTGCGTACGGTCGGTTAACGAGTGAAAAAGTAAGATCCATCGCCGACGAATGTCTTCGCCGAGATTGACGACAAGGACCATGAAGAAATCTTACTTCGTTTTCGTGAGTATCGATATTTTCGTTGCATTACCAGATACACCCGCATTTCACGTTTCATTCGTGATGAAAATTCCTTTTTCTCCCTTGATTTTCTTCAACTTATTCTTTGTTTTTCATTTTCTTCTTGCCTTTTCCCGATCGCCATCGTTTGGCAGTCGACGAGAGAGAGGTTGGACCTGTCCTGGGATTCGGGCTCATTTTATGCTCGTCCCGGCTTGCTGTTTCGCATGGAAGATCAAAGGCCACGAGCATCACTTTAATCTGCCAATGGCCGCCGCATCTTTCTCATTTCCCTTTGAGTGGCCGAACTTTTGAATGCGGTTTCCAGAGGTTAGGGAGTCATCGCGTCATCCTTTCGTTTGCGCGCCCCATCTTCGTCCTGTACGGTTCAAGAACAGTAAAATTCACGATGTGCCCACGTGATTCTCCCTCTCTCGGTTCGGGGGTTGAAGGAGAACGAGGTCAGTCGGTGCACGCGAGCCGACCAATGTCGGTTTCCAGGCTTTTTGGAACGCGCCGAGATATATACGTAATGTTACATTGGTCACGGCTAATTTTGTCAGATCCATAAATTTTGCATGTATTTCCTTAAGATATCATCACATTCATATGCGGCCCTATTCATTGACGAGATAAGATATTTGGAGATTAGCACATTGAGGATGAATTTAGAAAAAAAAAGAAATTAATCTATTTAAAAGAATACCTTTAAATAAGAATTCCACCGCGTTTCTATTAATAAAATATACAACATTGAAAAAATACATTATTTTTATTAAATTGTTTGTAAACTGCGTTGTTATTAATGCCCACATTAATGTCTGCATAATTCAAATTAATATCTTTTGATTACATACAGGAAATGGCAATCATAATATGATATGAATATTAATAATATTAACAGTTAGAATATTAATATATGTGCAAGTTGTGACGTATTTAACGGCAGAAACTCGGCTATTTCGAATGCATTTTTAACGAGAACGAAAAGTATTAAGGCCTACTATCAATAGATAAAATCCATCGCCACAACAAAAGACGACTTTTTCACCGTGTTTCGCGAATTTTGGGGGCATCCTTGTTTGATATAGCGAAAACTTTGTCGAAACTTACGAGCGAGCTGTGCTGCATACAATACAAACGAGGAGCTTCCGCGCTTCTTCAGCAACGTCTCGAAAGAACTCAAGAGAGCGCAGAACTAAAGCAAGGAAAGCAACGGCCATATACTCGGTCGTATTTTTGGCGTTCGTGAGTTTCAGAGAGAAGGATTTATCGAGCTGTGCGATGCATCTATTGTTGGTTCACTTGGATTTATCTTTGAAGCTTGTCAAATGTTTTGGAGACAACTTTTTTATTTTCCATTCTTCGACTTTCGATAAATGTATGTTGTTCCCATCGTACGTATTATTAATTATCAATGTACGTATGCAATCATTTTACATCAAACGTGACGAATTTTTTCACGGGGCATTTTTGATACGAAATATTAAGGACTACACAAAAGAGTCTTGCGCTTCGACATGTTCGACATATTGTTACGAAAAATATAACGATGTCTCCAATCAGTAGAAGACTTGATAAATCGCGTAAAGAGTGCTTTGCGCGCTGTTTTTATTTTTCGTTGCTCCGTTTTTATTTCTCACGAAAAAAGGAGCAAGTTCTTGTCTGTACTTTTTGAAGGAGTTCATGAACGTCCTGTAATTCCTGAATACTTTTCCCGCGTCTTCTATATCTTTACGAGGATCTTTCTCTATCTTACACACAATTTTCCACCATGTTTCAAGATGTACTTCGGGTAAACTATTCAGGGAAAAAAGGGAAACGTAATCTTGGAGATACAATACGGATCGCTGTCCTGCTGTGCTCCTCTTGTCGCTAGGATCGCCTTTTCTCACCTGTCGAGAGAGATAGAAAAACGATTGGGCGACATGCCTCAAGAGGGTGTACTTTATTACCTGTCGATAATATGCGACCACCCTCGGAGCTCTCTGGTTCCGAGCCCATTGTCGGTCCTTGTCGCTTAAGACTTGTCGCGGCCCATCTCTCGATGTTTTTGCTCGCCTTTCTGGCTGTGTACCTGCTAAGAATCCACAAAAGACATGGTCAATGTTCGCAAACAATGCTGGTGGAATCAGTACAAGCCGACTGTTCACAAATCTTCGTAGAACGAAAGTGTTGAGAAAAGATAGCAAATATGTGGGTGTTCTAATATAACAACAAAGATAGTGATTATCATAATGATTTTTGGTATACTTGAAGAAGCAGAATGATTAGAAAGAGAGAAAAATATTTCTAGAGTATTTCACCTTCTCCCTCTTTAATTTGTTGATTAAATTTATAAAGCTTTTTATAAAGTAAATCATATGCTGTTTTTTTAAATCGATTTTCATAAGCTAATTTTTTATTTCGTGTAATAGCTGATAATTTTATTGTATTAACAATTTTAGAGTAATTTTAAAATCTTTTAACAATCGTCGGTTTTTACAAGATTTCTTACAGAAACATTTCATACAGGAATGTTTTGCGTAATATTTCGAGTAATTTCTCGATGGAATACGATTTTTAACAATAGTAATTTCCAAGGCGCCGAGATATACATCTCGCAATTAGCGAACTACGCCGTCGGTGCAGGTTTAGAACTTTAATATTTCTGCATGTGGAAACTCGTGTTAGTTCTATGTAGAATTCGCGATTCCAAGGGAGACGGTACATTATATAAGGGAGAGAAGCGATGAATGTAATGCACGCTCTTGCGATACATTTCCAACGAGTTTAAAATAAAGCTCATTTACTTATTCGTGCAAAATGCTTTTCAAATTTGTTCGCTATTCAACGGAACAGATATAGCAAAACAAATTTTTGTAAAATGATTGATATTGTACGGTATAATAATGCAATTAATAGTGATATTCTTTTATGAATTTCATTCTATTAGAGGAAAAATTTCCAGAAATAAATAAATAAATTGTGAAAATATTATTTAATTATTTTAAATGATGATCTGTATTTTCTTCTTTCATTTTCTGAACCACGCACGTCATTTTATAAAGCTTGTATTAAATAGATAAAAAATAATCCAGAAAGTATTCATTTTTTATAATCGGATAAAAATTTGACGTAAAATATGCAAATTATTTTAACAAAATTGTTAATTAAAAGCCTGGTACGTATTCTTCCACAAGATCTTGCACAAGCTCATGAAAAAATGGATTTTTATAAAGTTCCGACAGCACATCAATATCGCGAACTTTATACATTTGGTCGATTACATCTTGTTGACAAGAAGGCGCGTGACCTGAAAAAAAAAACACGCGTATTTTTGCCGACTAAAAAGGTCAAAAAAAATGAAGTCATGGAGGTAGAGGAAAAATGCATCGACGAGTGTAAATTGACTTATGAAAAAAATAATCATAAGTGGAAATATAATTTTTGTTATATGCACGTACATTTCAGCTATAAGACAATTGCTTTTTAATTTACGTTGATTAGCAAAGAAAAAGAATGATAAAAATTATTGAATTTAATCGAGAATTTTTCACGAAATCAATCTTATTTTTAAAAGAGATCGAATATAATTTTTTAAATATTTTGAAAAAAATAGAAAGAGGAAGAGAGAGAGAGAGAGACAATTAATACTATAATACTATAAATTTCTTACGCGCATTATCCACAGGCACGCATGCACGTGTCACACGACATCGTTATTACGGAACGAGATTATTTTAAATTCTTTCGTGACATTTCCCATTTGAAAAGTCTCACGCATGCAAATGTTAACGCTATGGTCGTCCCTTGCGCTCCTCGAAGCGTGCAACGCGAAGGTCGATTATAATGGCACGTTTTAAACGGTCCCTCCCCGAACGAGACCGCAAACGGCGCGGTCAAGCATGGGGAATGAGCGGGCCGCACGGAAGTGTTTATGATCTATGGGCGGAGTATACCTGGAATTATGTACGAAGGAAGATTGTGCAAAGTGGATTAGTGGGATATTAGCGGCGGTCAAGCGTGCTGGCGCTTTCAAGATAAATACTTTGCTACGATATGGACCTCTGTGTGTTTCGCGTTACAAAGCGCCCGGGAAATCGTTAGCCGCGTCTGCGCGTCGCGTGATTGAGTTTCGAGGTGGCTCGGATTCAGACGGGGGTGTGCGTGGCCGGAGCGAAACGCTTTTAGGCTCTTATTAGGGGCTGAACGCGGGAAGGCATTCCTTTTCACCTCGTTAATATTGCTCTTTATCGCTTTAAGGATTTATCTTGGATTTCGATCGACGTGAGATTAAATCCATCTTGCCGCTTCTACGCGATTTGGAATACGTTTATTTTTATTGCAGAGAAAGAGAGGATATATATATATATATATATATATATATATATATATATATAAGAAGAGAGAGAGAGAGAGAGAGAGAGAATTTTGGATAAGATTGAAAAAGCGAAGGTAGATTAATGTATTTTGATAGTTTTCTCAAGCATACGCGTTTTGTTTAATTGCCATTTTTTTCACGCATTTTATTTCATTTTCTTTAACACGTACACTCATTCTCTTTTTCATTGTATGCTTATAAATGTTCTTTTCGTGTTTTCACATTTATTTATCTGATGCAGTCATTCACATTTCTTTCTTTCTCTCGCATTGTACTCTTATTTCATTTTTTCCACTGTCTCTTTACAGTTAGAAATATTTTTAATATAACATACATACATATATGTGTATGTATATTAGGAATCATTTATATGTGTTTTTACATTTTATAGATACTCATATGTTAACGAATTCGAAAGCTAAATAATATTCTTCTTAGAATAATAAAATAAAAGATGCCATATATATAATTCTGTCTTGATAGATTTTATGTATTGTTTTAAAAGAGTATGAATTTTCAAACAAGTTCTTTCATTATAAATTAATATTACATACAGAATAAATACATCAGGTGCCAATTCTTAAAAGACAACCGATTTAAAATGACCAAAATATATATCTAGCTATAATCTAAATATGTC